TGTGGCTCCAGTTTTCCCAGTCAGTCTCCTTGTGGTTGATATAACCCATAACTATAACTTTGCTCTACCTGTGTGAGTGCTTCTGGCCACCTCAGTTAGTGTGTCCACCATTGGTCTGTTGCTCTCTTCACATTCTTCTGTTGGCCTCCTGCAGTTTTGTGGCTGATTATACATGACTACAATGACTGTCTTACGCCTCCCAGACTGAATTATACATACTATGTAGCACCTTTCATCCATTTCCTCCATTTCTTCAAATCCATCGGTTTTAATGAACCATTCAACTACTCCTCCCCCTCTGCTTCCTCTATCTTTCCTCTGGATCTGATATCTGGGTGAGAAGATTGTGTCCGTTATCATCCTGGTGAGTTTCGTTCCTGTGAGTGCAATGTCTAGGATGTGACCTTGTTTCTTTCACGGCACTCATCACATTTATTTGTTATTCGTATAACACACCTTCAACTTCTTTTATAAAAGTGTGGTCTGGGGAGATGTTGGGATAGGGGGATCAGGAGACCTGGTAGGGAACTATCGGGTGTTGCTGTGAGGGTGGAGCTTGTGATGAAAGAGATGGGAACAGTGGGTATGGTGTGTAGGTTTTGGGTTACATTGTTTGGTTGCATTGGTGATATCATGGTTCATGTCCTTCTGTAGGTGGTTCTGAGGGAGATTTTATTTATTCTTCCTCCTGAGTCTGGGTTCTCCTGCTCATCACTGTCTTTGCCTCTTTCTTTCCTCCTTGCCTCTTTTTAACCTCTCAGTTTCTGCCTTTCTACTTGTGGTTTCCTGTGGTCGAGGTACACCCTCCTGTACATTGGTATGTCCCTAGTCATGCTTTACCCTGCAGGATCCTCTTTCGAGCCGTTTTTGCCTTGAAAATCACTTTGACTGGTCGTTTTTTCCTCTTGCAAATCACCCTATTTTCAGAAAATTTGTCAGTTGGGTCATATCATCCTTCCAAATTGCTTTCATGATTTTTTCATTCACTTTTTTTCTTCCTGCTTTATAAGTTTCCTTTCCAACTTCCTGGATTCTGTAAACAAAAACTATTTGTGTGGAATTTATTTTATGTCTAATATAATTTTACTGGACATGTGATAAATAAATACAACTGTCCATAATATCGTAAAAATATAACATTTTATAACCATGAGCAACATTTTTCTTTCCATTATGGCGGCGTCATCCTCAGTGATGCTTTTCTTGGTCTGTCACAGCTCCTCCCACTTGGTCTGTCACAGCTCCTCCCACTTGGTCTGTCACAGCTCCTCCCACTTGGTCTGTCACAGCTCCTCCCACTTGGTCTGTCACAGCTCCTCCCACTTGGTCTGTCACAGCTCCTCCCACTTGGTCTGTCACAGCTCCTCCCACTTGGTCTGTCACAGCTCCTCCCACTTGGTCTGTCACAGCTCCTCCCACTTGGTCTGTCACAGCTCCTCCCACTTGGTCTGTCACAGCTCCTCCCACTTGGTCTGTCACAGCTCCTCCCACTTGGTCTGTCACAGCTCCTCCCACTTGGTCTGTCACAGCTCCTCCCACTTGGTCTGTCACAGCTCCTCCCACTTGGTCTGTCACAGCTCCTCCCACTTGGTCTGTCACAGCTCCTCCCACTTGGTCTGTCACAGCTCCTCCCACTTGGTCTGTCACAGCTCCTCCCACTTGGTCTGTCACAGCTCCTCCCACTTGGTCTGTCACAGCTCCTCCCACTTGGTCTGTCACAGCTCCTCCCACTTGGTCTGTCACAGTTCCTCCCACTTGGTCTGTCACAGCTCCTCCCACTTGGTCTGTCACAGCTCCTCCCACTTGGTCTGTCACAGCTTCTCCCACTTGGTCTGTCATAGCTACTCCCTCTTGGTCTGTCACAGCTCCTCCCACTTGGTCTGTCACAGCTCCTCCCACTTGGTCTGTCATAGCTCCTCCCACTTGGTCTGTCACAGCTCCTCCCACTTGGTCTGTCATAGCTCCTCCCACTTGGTCTGTCACAGCTCCTCCCACTTGGTCTGTCACAGCTACTCCCACTTGGTCTGTCACAGCTACTCCCACTTGGTCTGTCACAGCTCCTCCCACTTGGTCTGTCACAGCTCCTCCCACTTGGTCTGTCACAGCTCCTCCCACTTGGTCTGTCACAGCTCCTCCCACTTGGTCTGTCACAGCTCCTCCCACTTGGTCTGTCACAGCTCCTCCCACTTGGTCTGTCACAGCTCCTCCCACTTGGTCTGTCACAGCTCCTCCCACTTGGTCTGTCATAGCTCCTCCCACTTGGTCTGTCACAGCTCCTCCCACTTGGTCTGTCACAGCTCCTCCCACTTGGTCTGTCACAGCTCCTCCCACTTGGTCTGTCACAGCTCCTCCCTCTTGGTCTGTCACAGCTCCTCCCACTTGGTCTGTCACAGCTACTCCCACTTGGTCTGTCACAGCTCCTCCCACTTGGTCTGTCACAGCTCCTCCCACTTAGTCTGTCACAGCTCCTCCCACTTGGTCTGTCACAGCTCCTCCCACTTGGTCTGTCACAGCTCCTCCCACTTGGTCTGTCACAGCTCCTCCCACTTGGTCTGTCACAGCTCCTCCCACTTGGTCTGTCACAGCTCCTCCCACTTGGTCTGTCACAGCTCCTCCCACTTGGTCTGCCACAGCTCCTCCCACTTGGTCAGTCACAGCTACTCCCACTTGGTCTGTCACAGCTCCTCCCACTTGGTCTGTCACAGCTCCTCCCACTTGGTCTGTCACAGCTCCTCCCACTTGATCTGTCACAGCTCCTCCCACTTGATCTGTCACAGCTCCTCCCACTTGGTCTGTCACAGCTCCTCCCACTTGGTCTGTTACAGCTCCTCCCACTTGGTCTGTCACAGCTCCTCCCACTTGGTCTGCCACAGCTCCTCCCACTTGGTCAGTCACAGCTACTCCAACTTGGTCTGTCACAGCTCCTCCCACTTGGTCTGTCACAGCTCCTCCCACTTGGTCTGTCACAGCTCCTTCCACTTGGTCTGTCACAGCTCCTCCCACTTGGTCTGTCACAGCTCCTCCCACTTGGTCTGTCACAGCTCCTCCCACTTGGTCTGTCACAGCTCCTCCCACTTGGTCTGTCACAGCTCCTCCCACTTGGTCTGTCACAGCTCCTCCCACTTGGTCTGTCACAGCTCCTCCCACTTGGTCTGTCACAGCTCCTCCCACTTGGTCTGTCACAACTCCTCCCACTTGGTCTGCCACAGCTCCTCCCACTTGGTCTGTCACAGCTCCTCCCACTTGGTCTGCCACAGCTCCTCCCACTTGGTCTGTCACAGCTCCTCCCACTTGGTCTGTCACAGCTCCTCCCACTTGGTCTGTCACAGCTCCTCCCACTTGGTCTGTCACAACTCCTCCCACTTGGTCTGTCACAGCTCCTCCCACTTGGTCTGTCACAGCTCCTCCCACTTTGTAACGTTGCCAGATAGTGATTTCAATATATCAGAGGAAAAATATCAAAAATAAAAAAATCAGAAAAAAAAAGCACCGGGGATATACTAACTTTGGCGACATCCTAAGAAATGTTCTGTTGACTTTTATTCGTTGTAAAAACTTTGAACAAGTATGAGATTTACACCAAAATGTTGTCATATTCTTGGAGTATTTTTCTCTAAGCTTAACTAATATTTCGAATACTATTAATTTTTATTTTACTGGATAGCGCCACTCGTGGGCAATACCTCCCTCCCCCTCATTAGACAAGACAGTGATGGACTGGGTGATGGTGAAAGTATTTCTCATTTTTCAGGTCGTCCCACCTCGGTGGGAGACGATCGGTGTGCTATAAAAATTAATTTCTGGTAAATTTTTTCTTTTAATTTAATGCCATACACAGCTAAAAATATATTTTGGTCGTAACTTTGAAGCCAGGGACTTCCCCGGCCCGCACTTACCCCAGCCTATTTTCACAATCCATTTACCGAAATTAATGACCATTGTATTTCCGAATATGTGTGATGAAAGAATGATGTCCATGTTTTGTAAAAACCAGCCTCATGTGCTTCAGTGAGTGTGAAAGGAATAGTGCAGAGTGTCACATTAGTTTGTATTGCTGTTTAATATTTGAGCTGAAGATCTTAAGTGAATCACACGGAAACTAATATTCCAGTTTCTTCAAATAAATAATAAATTAGGACATATCAGCCTAAATCTTATTCAAATTTATAATAAGAATCTTCACATTGATGCTAAACTGAAGACGTATTGTCTTTAAATTTTGGAGAGATTAATATCCTATAGTAAACTAACATTAGGTTAGAATCTGCTCAGAAGTTGCTTGTTCAAGTTATCTGCATTGAAAAGTTTAAGCCATTTGGATGAGGCGCTCAGAAATTATCGTATAGAATGCAGCATTTCACAATTTCTTCTAAAAAAGAAGACAAAATTGGATTCACACTGGCTAAAATTAATCCAACCTGTTCTCTAGAAAAGACTGACTAGCTAGTATTTAAAGTTTAAGTAATAAGCTAGTAGTAAGCATTTGAAGTTTTTAACAATAGTCTTGAGAACACACAGATGTTATTAACATTATAGGAATAATATGTAGATATACCTGATCAATAGAGACACTTTCCAGGTATTTCACAGAAATCAGTTTGAACAATACTATCAGTATATTAAAACTTACACAACCAAAAACAGCAAAAATTTGAAGCGACGATAAAATCCATTCTCTACATAATGCGTAGAATCCAACACAATTTTTGTTATTCATTTAATGCGATGCATCAGCAGGGGCATTCAGGTTTGATAAAAAGAGAGGATTAGACCACTAACGTCATACTGAAGAACATTGCATGTGAAATTGTCGAACTTGATCACGACTAAGGATGCCTTCATCGCCGACTCCTTCAGTGACGATGATGTGGACAAGATCGTCACTACTCAAGCTACGAAGGCACTCAAAGATCGAAAGTTTGAAGTAGTTTCTTCCCCGATTCTGAGGAAAAAAGAGCCAGTGTTTGTTTGAGAGGCTGGATCATCGAGGACCAGAATGAATGAACCACCGTAGACGAGATGACGAAGATTCGCCACTCCTTCTCAATGCTCAACGTTAGTTTCATCGAGGTGTCCGTGGCCTCGTAAGCTCCCAACGAACGTCTTTGCGTCTTCAATAACCATATCTACCCAAGGTACTTTGAACCAGAGTGATACCACCACATCGCCGAATGCAGTAATAACGGTTCCAGCGACAAGGACTCTGGTTTGATCATTCAGCCAAAGGGAGCCTCAACTGCAAGAGTGACATGAAATCGTTGCAGCTAATTGTGGAAATAATAGGAAGAAGCTTGAGGACCACAAGAAACACAACATCACCAATAACTTCAAGTAGATTGTACAAGTAGCTTAACATTCTCTCACTACTACTGCGCCAGAAATAATCTTAATGTCTGTTTCGAGATGGACCTTCCTAAACATACTTATTTGCCTTTTCTTCTCTCTCATGTAAAATGCAGCCAATCCAGACAGCTTCACTAAGGTTGCTAATGACATATTCCGTCTCAACAACCTTCCATAAATAAAGATTCCAGACCTCAAATTCCCTCAAACACTCAGTATGATCAAGTAGCCACTCTAGTCACCAATGAACCCACCACTGATGCAGCTACCACTGATGAAACCACTACTGCAGAAGAAATGGCCAATGAGTTGGATAGCGTAGATGCAGACTTTGAGACCTACAGCACTATTATGTTGCTACTCCTTGACCAAATACAATAACTACATGACCACTAAAGAATTCTGTCAAGGACACTTAATGGAATTGATGAAAAATCACAAATATACTGTATATCCTTGAAACACTTTGTTCTGAGACACGAACAGCACCACTCAGTGTTCCCCACCTCACTCCACAGCATTGTCATCGGCTCTTTAGACCAGCTAAACATCAACAGAAAATAATTTGACGTGATCCTTTACTTTTTCTTCAAAAAGTCTCTTGTCTCCTGACTCTTTCTGTTCGACTGACTTGTTGTCAATCTGGACATAATTGTCGCCTGCAACCACTTCATGGCTCAAGTTCACTGGGTTTTTTTCGTGTACCTCTCTCATTGATATTAACAGACAAGGATCCAGTGTTACAAAAAAGTTTCTTCTAAAACAGACGTCTCCAGAGCAAGCTGGAGGGTCAACGAATTGATGCCCCTCTAGCTGCTGTCCTGTTTCTGGTTTCGTAACAAGAGGATGGATTTGATTCTATTTCAGTTATTCAGGTTACTCTATAGCAATCTTTAATATTAATAAGGGTCCCAACTGAATGAACATAAAACAACAAAATAAATTTTAAAATGTCCAGTTCAGGGGGCGCAACATCCAGCAAATTTTGTAATAGATAACAATTGTAAAAATAAAGGCTTCAACACCAAAATTAATTGAAATTAACTGAGTAACACTTGGGAAAATGATAGGCACAAGGGAAACCAAGGAAACTCTAGTCCATAGGTTGTCACCATCTTGCAGAATGGTTCCAGGAGGCAGTTGACATGTGCAGGTACAATCTGCTCAGTAATATATAGAGAGAATTCCCTAAATAAATTAGACCGAAATTGCTGTAAAGATGCTCTTTATATCGGTTTAAAGATTTCATGAATCGTCGTGTACTTGAGTAACAGTGTTATTGGTTATAGATTCACATATATACACAGACACATGATGGTGGTAGTGGTCAGGTTGGTGGAGACAGTAGTGTTGTGGCGATGATGATGATAGTGATCCAGATGGTGGTGGTATAATTACTAGTGATGATGGACACACATACATGTACATGAATGAATATAAACACGAATATACACATTCAGGTATGCATACATGCATACATAAAAAAATGTTGTGTACATATGCACATAAATACCTACCTACATACGTACATACATACATAATTACATACATACATACATACACATGCATACACATATGCATACACACACATGCAAAAGCACATACAAAAAACATATACACATTCACACACACCTTTAAAAATGTTATTGCGCGGCTCGCGAGCCGCCAATAACAAGATATGCAGGCTAGTATTACCATGTCTAATTTTTCTCATTTACTATATTTCACTAGCAGCTCAGTACTACTTAATTTAGTTGAGTTACGCTAACTTGCAGTAGCTGCGGCTCTCTCAATCAATGTGTTTAACCGATGTGGCTCTCTTGCAGAAATTAGTGAATAACACGGGGCCTACATGAATGTAAACATACACATGTTAACTATAGCCATGCGTATTGCCATGGCAATAGTTAAGATGTATACAGTACTACTCACGAGGATAATGAAAACTGGTACACTGGCTGGTGTTACAGTGATCTAGAGCATCATGGGTGTAGATGGTGATACAGAGATCTAGAGCATCATGGGTGTAGATGGTGATACAGAGATCTAGAACATTGTGTGTAGATGGTGTTACAGTGATCTAGAGCATCATGGTGTAGATGGTGATACAGAGATCTAGAATATTGTGTGTAGATGGTGTTACAGTGATCTAGAGCATCATGGGTGTAGATGGTAGTACAGTGATCTAGAGCATCATGGGTGTAGATGGTAGTACAGTGATCTAGAGCATCATGGGTGTAGATGGTAGTACAGTGATCCAGAGCATCATGGGTGTAGATGGTGATACAGAGATCTAGAACATTATGGTGTAGATGGTGTTACAGTGATCTAGAGCATCATGGTGTAGATGGTGATGCAGAGATTTAGAGCATCATGGGTGTAGATGGTGATACAGTGATCTAGAGCATCACGGGTGTAGATGGTTGTGCAGTGGTCTAGAACACGACGGTGTAGAGGGTTTCCAGGTAGACACCGTTAAGTACAGCTTACTTTTGACTCACAACCAAATTCCAGATAAATAAGTGCGAGTGCCTTGCCGAAGTTATCCGGGGTCTGGCTGTGTAGCATAAGTACTGTATACTTTGATGCAGATTGCTCAGGTTCGAATCGTGCTTTGGACTGAGGCATAATAATTGAAAATATTTTCGACAATTTGTGAATTGTAAAGCATTCAAAGATTTCTTTCAAAATTCATGCATTTGGCAGCATTTGATGAAATAACTTATGACAGGGTGGGTGCTCCAAGAAAAAGGACACATCACCTAGCTTTGGCTAGGCGCCAATACTTATTTATCTGAAGTCTCTGTGTGTTACAAAAGTGCTGCGTACTTCGATGAGGAGTACAGTTTTCTCAGAGCAGAGGGCTTGCCGTTAGTCGAGTTAATTTTCCCCATAGGAAATAATGGAAATAGAATTAATCCGTTCCTGACACCCCAAAGTCTAATTTTTTTTTTACCTGAAATATATATTTCCTTATATGGAAAGGAATGGGACATGCATAATAAACAATAATTAAATGTCACTTACCGTTATTATGGAGTTGTTGATGAGTGATGTGCCAGCAGCAGGAGAAATTCAGAATTGTCTGTTGCCTGGAAGGACAATCCCCTTCCAGAAGGACTTCATTTCCATCGTAATTCTCAGTCTTTTTAACACAGGCTTGGCACCAGAAGCTCTCTTGGGACCCATGGTGGCTTATTTAGCGGTTACAAGCAGTAGAGATAGTGGAATTATCCAAAATATATGGGAGGCACACGTGGAAACCGACCGCAACAGCTTGTAAACAATGGCACACTGACTCTTGGAGTGGCTGGGTCCACTCAGGCCTTGCTCCGGGGACATCGACACGTTCCAGACAAATGTCGTTGGTTAAGTTTTACGCCATTGGTTAAGGCACATTTTCTATAGCAAAAAGCGCCGTTAGACGAAATTCCCATTACTTAATGCCGCCGTTAGTTGAGGGTCGACTGTATATATATATAACAACACTGCGACTAGCCAAGGACTCAAACCCATGGTGCTTTGGCCTACCTCATGGTGGGCGAAAACTCATAACTCCTTAATCCACTGGACCATACAATCCTTAAGAGTAACGCATCCAGGGGAACTAGATGTTGTACTCGCTACCCAATGACACACGATGGTGTGGATGACTCTAGGCTAATTTCATTTTAGTCCCTGTTTGGTGTACTAGTACAACGAGCATTATTTTATATTATTGTGCCCAAGAACGAGTGGTATTGATCAATAACAACACTGCGACTAGCCAAGGACTCAAACCCATGCTGCTTTGACCTGCCTCATAATGGGCGAAAACTCATGACGCCTTATTAATGCACTGGACTATGTTTCTTTCCCAGCCCATTGCTTGTGAACCAGGCTGCCCAGTCTGTGGCATTTGTGTGGCCGAGTGGACTAGATTGATGCCTGAGAATCTTGATCGTCCTCAGTAGTAGTTTCGAATCCTGCTGACTGCGATCTTTCTATATATATTTGTACTTATGTATGTCTGCATATGTATATATGTGCATGTGTATTCTTAATATGTGTTTGCATATTTGTATGAGTTCTTTTTACATATTTGTATGTGCATATGTGTATTTCATGAGTGTATGTATTAATGTATGTAAACAAATATTTTGAACCCATATACTCAGATAAAAGTAAAACATTTGTGAAGAGCATCAGTCTATAATGGCTGAGTCGTCATGAAATGTCTGAAAAATGTCTTCACTTTAGACAGTGTAGGTGCACATTTTGTTGGATTCTAGGCACTAACTGGTGAATTTCCCACAAATAATAAAAAGTTTGCTTTTATTTTGTGATAATTTTAATGTCAATTTTTCTAATCAAATTGGTATCTAGTTATTAACTAGAGGATGACTCTTCTGATGAGCAATAAATAGCAGTATTTGATTTATTGGGTTATACTTGGTTAAAGCAACATAATGTTCTCTTAATAAAACTTAATTTGATACATACGTTTAGGTTTATTTTGGCCGGTATTGGTCCTAGTATAATTTTCTTTTCTAAACGAAACTTAGAAAATTGACATACTGAATTCCTTGCTATATTTTATTATTATTATTATTATTATTATTATTATTATTATTATTATTATTATTATTATTATTATTATTTATTATTATTATAATTATTATTATTGGTAATATTATTATTAATGTTATTATTAATGTTATTATTAATGTTAATGCTTTATGGACGTGGATATTAGTTTAATTTTTGCTTTAAAGATTTAATTAAGAAACAATGTAAGGGTGTTACATTTTCATTGCCTTTGCCAATGCTTAATTGTTTGGGTTCTTAAGTTCGAATATGAATAAAGTAATGAATTCATTAATGATATATTGCCTTTTCCAGTGCATTACCACCACGGATCGGTGAGTTTTAGTTTAGCTGGTGGTGTTCTTGGTCATCCTGGTCCTCCTGGTCCTCCTGTCCTGGGAAGACCTCAGGTCTCTCGTCCTCCTGCACCCTTCATTCCTGAATCAATAACCACAGACACAAGTGTTAGTCAACAGGAAGGTAGTGATGCACAGACAGACGCTCCAAGGACCAACTTTCCCGAGACTTGGCTGTGGGACATCGTCGTTCTCCCGTAAGACTTCCACTTTTAAATTCTGTCTTTTCTGGAAAACTCTGAAGTTTGCGAATGAGAATCGAAGAGAAAAATTTTTCCAGTGTACATATTTCATTTAAAATTCGAATAGCGTACTGTTTGCACTGACAGTCGGGTTTTGCTTGTCATGTTTCCTAGCAAATCTTTTCCAGATACACACTGTCTTATAACTGATCTCTTCTAATTGTAGTTCACATCACTTGTCTCATGAAATGAATGCTAGTTAACCTCCTGCCACGTACCCGATATTTTGCATGAGACCAAACTCATACATGTTATAAATTGGTTGCAAGTCATGTCTCATGCCATTAAATCCACATAAATTACGACATATTTAACTACAGTTACTGAATTTCACTATATATATAAATTACTTTGGTGTTTCCTATTCACAGTAAAATTATTCTTATATATATATATATATAATATATATAATATATATATATATATATATTATATATATATATATATATATATAGGTATATGTATATATATATATATATATATATATATATATATATATATATATATATATATATATATATATAATATATATACATATATATATATATATATATATATATATATATATATATATATATATATATATATATATATATATATATATATATATATATATATAACATCAACATGGAGAGAGGTCTCAGAGTAACGTAGGTGTCACCAGCCACGGTTACCCTTAGACAGTCTAAAGGTAGTCTAAGGGTAACCGTGGCTGGTGACACCTACGCTACTCTGAGACCTCTCTCCCTGCTTTGGTTGCTTCCTTGCAACATTGCACAGCTGCTGATGACGGACTAAGAAGTGTGAAAGTACTTGAGCTAAAGATTTCACCCCTCCCGTGGCTTGTCCTGCGTAGTTAAGATCGCCCGCCTGCGATTGTTTGCATGTGTATATATATATATATATATATATATATATATATATATATATAATATATATATATATATATATATATATATATATATATATATATATATATATATATATATATATATATATACATACACATATATATATATATATATATATATATATATATATATATATATATATATATATATATATATATATATATATATAATATATTTATATATATATATATATGAGTAGTCACGAAAGCGCTCGGAATTTCTCTATTCTTTCAGAGTGGTTGTTTTGCATATTCTGAAATCACCTGTTTACTGTGATCTTTTATCATATATATATATATATATATATATATAATATATATATATATATATATATATATATATATATATATATATATATATATATATATATATATGTATATAAATGTTTTATATTTTTTTTAAATATCGCTGCTCGACCAGCATGAAACACAGTGAACGTTCAAATTTCCACTGTGTATTATGGTGGGAATCACTTGAGAATCATTATACTTGTGATTTTCGTTATTAAACATTATTATTAATTAAAGTGGTTTATATCAGAGTAACATTTATTACCTCATTATTTTGGGTAATCTTATATGCATAATGAAAGGCCGTATGTACGTCACTAATTAAGGAATTTATAAAAAAGTTTCGTGCGGTCGGATGTAATAGGAAGGTGATGTAATTATTGTTCCAGCCAGTTAATTAAATCCATTATAATTTTACCTAACCTGATGTTTCCAGTACGCTTTAAAATTTACGGTAGATATGTTACATTTAATTTTACTTTTAGTTTCTTAAAAGAAAATGAACAGTTAATGAACGTAGGAGCAAAAATTCGTAATTAATCAGAGCCAGTGGCGATATATTAAGACGCGCGGCGTCATGAAGCCAACAGTCGAGAATCATATCTGGGAATCATATCGTATAAACACAGTTCAAATCAAATGTCAATTCCGCATTCAAACGGGGTTTAAATGCCTTCGAATTGTTTTCTTATTAATCAGCATTCAAATATTGTATGGTCAAGTACCAAGATAATAGCAGTGAACATCTCAACTCTGAGGCCTCAGAAGTATCCCTCATGAGGACCTCTGTAGACTCCATACTGGAGAATCCATAATACCTACAGAAAAATATTCCTCTTTAATCACTTTTATGTATAACCTGCAAGTCTTTGCTAGGTGTACAAATGATGGAGGAACCTACCAGGTAACATAGAAAGATAACGTTCATAACCAGGTGAGCCTAGTGATAAACCATTTTCTAATGTTTTGCCTATGATTTTGCCTTTGTAATAATTATGGTATTGGTATGCATGGTTTTTGTTATATAACAGGGAATTAGTTGATCCAAGATATTCTGAGCACCAATGAATGCCGGTGAAAAGGGCCGTCAAATATAGTTTAAACTTTCCTAAGAAACTTTTGCGTTATTAATACTTTAGAGGAGCTACAATCTTCACATTAAAAATTTTATGTTTAACAGTGATATAAGAGATATGTCGTTAACATGAATAAGGAAGAGCCAGTTGTGAGTGTGAAGGGGAAGTTCGTGGGACAGTGGGTAAAATGTAAGGGGTAAGGCAACAGGGATAGAGGGGATAAAGATAGAAATGTTAAAAGCAGGTGGTGATATAGTTTCGGAGTGGTTGGTGCTTTTATTTAATAAATGTATAGAAGAAAGTAAGATACCTCCGGATTGGCAGAAAACGTGCATAATCCTTTGTATAAAAGCAAAGGGGACAACAGAGAGTGCAAAAAATATTGGGGAATAAATCTGTTGAGTATACCTGGTAAAGTGTACGGTGAAGTTATTATTGAAAGAATTAAGAGTAAGACGGAGAGTAGGAGAGCAGATGAATAAGGAGGCTTTAGGAAGGGTAGGGGGTATGTAGACCAAGTGTTTACAGTGAAACATATAGGTGAACAGTGTATAGAAAAGGGTAAAAAGGTTTTTGTGGCATTTATGGATTTGGAATAGCAGTATGACAGGGTGGATAGGGGGGCAATGTGGAAGATACTGCAAATGAATGGAATAGAAGGTGGGCTACTGAAAACATTAAAGAGTTTTTACAAGGATAGTGAGGCTCAGGTTAGAGTATGTAGGAGATAAATAAAAGTAAGCCTTAGACAAAGATGATTGATGCCTCTGTGGTTATTCAATGTATTTATAGATGGGGGTTGTAAGAGAAGTGAATTCTCGGGTCTTGGCAAGAGGTGTGGGATTAGAAGATAAAGAATCGAACACAAAGGGGGAGTTGTCACAGTTGCTCTTTGCTGAGGACACTGTGCTTTTGGGAGAATCTGAAGAGAGTTCGCAGAGGTTAGTGGATGAGTTTGGTAGCGTTTGTAAAAGAAAAAAATTAAAGTGAATATAGGAAAGACTACGTTGATGACGAGAAGGAGTGGCGCACTTAGGATTCTGTGGAGACAAAAAACTTTGTCCATGGAAGCAAAGAGGGGAATGTATGAGAGTATAGTCATACCAACGCTCTTATATGGATGTGAAGCATGAGAGGTGAATGTTGCAACAGGGAGAAGGCTGGAGGGCAATGTGTGATGTGAATATAATGCAGATAATTGGTTGTTTGGAATTTAGGAGGTGTGAGATTACCAGAACTATTATCCAGAGGGCTGAGGAGCGTTTAAGGTGGTTCGGACATGTAGAGAAGCTGGAACAAAATATAATGACTTCGAAAGTGTATAAATCTGTAGTGCAGGGAAGGCGGGAGGGGAAGTAAGGGGATTTTGTGTGCGAGGGGCTTGGACTTCCAGCAAGCATGAGTGTGTTAGAAGCGAATGGAATCAAATGGTTTTAAGGACTTGGCGTGCTGTTGGAGTGTGAGCAAGGTAACATTTATGAAGGGATTCAGGGAAACCGGCAGGCCAGGATTGAGCCCTGGAGATGAGAAGTACTGTGCCTACACTCTGAAGGAGGGGTGTTAATGTTGCAGCTTTCTAACTGTAGAGTAAGCACTTCTCTGCCAAGACAGTGATGGATTGAATGATCACGACTCTTTTAATTTTCGGACCACCCTGTTTTGGTGGGAGACGACCAATGTGTTAATAAATAAATAAATAAATAAATAAATTAATACAAATGTATATATAATATATATATATATATATATATATATATATATATATATTATATATATATATATTATATATATATATATATATATATATATATATATATATATATATATATGTGTGTGTGTGTGTGTGTGTATAATAACAACACTGCGCTAGCCAAGGATTCGAGCACATGTTGTACTGGCCCACCATTATGAGTGAGAACCACTTGATGCCTTAACCCACAAGACCACCCAATCCTGCAAGAACCAAGCACCCAGGGAAGCTAGGTGAGTTACTCGTGGTCAGATGACGTACAGAACTGTGGGAGCCTCCAAGCTAATTTCATTCTCATCCCTGTTTGGTGTACTAGCCTACGAGCAGCATATAAATATTATTGTAACCACATGACGTGCACACCATGTGAAGACATCCTATGGGAACGTACTTGCTTGGACATCCTCCTCTTTTCTGCAACTTTTCAAGCTCTTGATGATTTGTTGATTGCAACACGAAGGACCTGGATCTGTGATTATATATATATATATATATATATATATATATATATATATATATATATATATATATATATAATATATATATATATATATATATTCAAGGTAGTAGGTTGGTAGACAGCAACCACCCAGGGAAGTACTACCGTCCTGCCAGATGACTGTGAAACAGAAACCTGTAACTGTTTTACATGATGGTAGGATTGCTGGTTTTCTTTTTCTGTCTCATAAACACGCTAAGATAACAGGGATATCTTGCTACTCCTACTTACACTTTGGTCACACTTCACAGACACGCACATGCATATATATATATATACATACATCTAGGTTTTTCTCCTTTTTCTAAATAGCTCTTGTTCTTTTTTATTTCTTCTATTGTCCATGGGGAAGTGGAAAAGAATCTTTCCTCCGTAAGCCATGCGTGTCGTATGAGGCGACTAAAATGCCGGGAGCAATGGGCTAGTAAC